GCGTGTATTTCTGTTAACTGTGTGCAGGTGACGAGCTTCCTTGTGATATGAGGATCTCGTTGGACAAGCAGGACAAGCTGCATGGATGTCTTGAACACCTCTTTAATCAGGTATAGTATTGTCTTTTTTCTCTGTATGATCACCTTACTTTCTGGTTTGATGAAGGCTCGTGGGATGTCCTGTAGATGAGGTTTTTATTGCTTGAACTGTACTGTAAGAATGTCTGGCACCTTGCTTGAAGAGGCTCAGATGACACGCTATTCATTCTCAGACTCCCAACCAAGCAATGTCACTTAAAAATAGTCCAAGACGGCCAGATTCTGCTACGAGTGCAGCTTCTTTGTAATCCGTTTGAGAACATTTTGTACAGATGATTCTGATCAAAAAAGGTTCAACATCTTTACTGAATTATCTCCCTCCTCTGCCTGCGATTGCCTGCAGCCTTACACATTGCCGTGGGATTCAGAATTAGAGAATGTTTCGCTCCCCTATCCCCCCTTACCAGTGTTTTGTGACCTTTAACCTTGTTAAAGGTTTACCAGCTAGGACAGCAAGCTTTAGAGTCCTATTCCATTACACAAAATGAATTATCTCCGAACGAAGACATGGTCTCTGGGGATGTGCTGACTGCTTTGTGCTTTTGTGCTGACTGCTAGGATCCACTTTGTATCCTTGTGCAGGTTGATTCCATTAACAACTTACTGAAAGGACCAGTAATGACAAAGGCCAGCGAGGAAACCAAGCACTTTCCAATGGACTACAGTCAGCCAGGTAGCCAACTCTATGCTGTTATGAAGCGCAATACAAAACTCTCGACATCTCAGTTCTGGTGGTGAAATGAGTTTGCTTTTATTATTTTACCTGTGATGTACACACCTGAAAGCTGCACTGATTAAACACAAAATTGACCACTAGTCATTAATCACTTGTGGTATCTCTAATCCTATTACATTGCTCCAATGCCTAGTCTACACTTGCTCCAGGGCACATACTTTACAGTACGGCGCAAACAGAGTGGAATCACAGCATTTCTCCTTGTCCCCCTTCAGAATTCCGTCACACGGAGGACTGGACCTCGTGCTGCCGCAGTGTGATCCACAAGAACATCCAGGAGGACCCCTGGAACCTGCCCAGCTCCATCAGATCCCTGGTGGATAATTTGCAGAGATTTGTGGAAGGTCAGTGAAGTGAAGTGAAGTGAAAGCAAGCGTGCCTTTGCTGGGCATCAGCCTGCAGGGGTTTATAAACCAAAGGGATTCTTTTAGCGAGATGCAGGGTGCCATCTGAAAGTCCTGTACAAGCAAACAGTGTGGACAATATGCAGTAAGTAGTGTTTCAGCGATTTGTTTAGGGAAGGTCTAAAAATAAAATACATGTTTTCAACTAATATGTAAATCGATTTGCTGACATGATTGCATGCTTACACCCGAAGAAGGCTCCACAGCCGAAACGTTGTGTTTTCTTTCTTCTCTTTTCAGCATGGAATAAACCTATTACTTGTTCCTAAAATGTAAATCTACTACTTTGATCCAAATAACTTGATTTATAGATGGATTGGTTTTCCTTTGGAACGCAGGATCATATCTTTTGAATTTTTATCCACAGATGGGAAGAATCAGCTCCTTCTGGCTTTGCTGAAATGCACAGGTACTGAAATAAACACACTTTCTCAATCTGTGTGATGTGGTGTATGTACTCTACTCTTCATCCTCCTATTATTTGTTTTTTACTAGACTGCTGCTCATCTGAAATGCATGTTATGCTTCTCTCTTTTTATCATGTTATTCAAATCATGACCAGTAGATAAACTAATGCTACAGACCAATTATAGTTTACTGGCTGAATGCAGGTGCAGATTATTGTATTATCTCTCTAACTGCCAGGCTTAAGACAGAAAAGGGACTGTATTAAAAACAAAAGCATAGCTAAATTGCTCAACACACTTTAAGACAATTTGGTAAGAAGGTATATATTCAGGCTCACATCAGAAGAAATTCTGCAGTGCCTGCAGATTCAGTGCTGTCGACATTGCTGAGATGGTGGGGTGAGCTCTTGAAAGAACGTCTGGTTTATTTTAATCTACGTTCCAGCTATCAATAGATCTCACTGTAATTTGGTGTGACTACGTTTATTTGCGCGGCATGCTGCCTGTCGTCGTATTTACAAAATGAGAGACTGCTGAGGGATTTCGTAAATGGGACATATGGAAACTATAAATATATTGCTTGAGACTTGTATCCAACCAGGGCTTTGATTTCATGGCTGGTTTTCTGCCAGATGGAGTCCTCCAAACCACATGACCAACACATTACTAGTGAGTTGGGATTTGCTGTTAGTCTTGCCATTGATCTACAAAAGCTTCTGTAATCTTCCTCTGGGTAGGGTTGTGGTTTTTGCAGGGCTGAATGTTGCAGCTGGTTAGCTGCAGGAGCTCCTAGTACAAACCTAGCAGGATAACCTAGAGGACTACAAGGTCCCGATATCTTTGCATAATGTACAGACTTCTTTTAGAAACTCCTGTCATCAGTCCATTATCATGTATAAAAGATGTATAGCTCATTGTCGTTAGATGAAAGCTCAACTTCAAGACTCTGAGGGATTCCAAGAATGTTAAATCCTTATCTTGGCCTCCTTGGGACTATGATCACGCCCCTTCATAGAAGAATCCTAAAGCAGGGCTCTCCAAACCTGATCCAGCAGTTTTTAAGGGAACCTTCGAAGTGTCAATTTCTAAAGGACTGGAACAATGTAAGAAAGATCATTCAAACAGGTGGCATGTTCCATTAAGCCATTTAGAGATTGTTTAGAATAAAAACAATAATATCTTTCATCTCTTCATTGAAACATTATTTACTTCATTGATCCATTGCTTCACCAAGTATCCTGATCTTGAAATAACAGGTGATTTAGAGTGACCTATACAAGTATTTCAATAGGGGCTCTCCACTACCAGTGCTGGAAACCCCTAACCAAGAACTTGCAATTTCCCAAATGGTAGTTGATGGTGGGTTCCATTGTGTAAAATTAAAACAAATGACTAAAAAATGTGTTCAGAAAGTATATTTGGTATGTGGTAAGTACATACGAAAGGTTCCAAATGCGAAGAGGTCATTCAGGCTTTTTGGTAGTTAGTAGATTATTGATCCAAAGATCTTATTCAGCCTGTTCTTGAAGGAAGACAAAGTATCGGTTTCACCCATGCTGCTGGGTAGCTATTTGGTGAGGGGTTTAAAGTTTTGATTACACGTGGTCCTAAATACTTCAGAAGCTGTCATGAACTATGTCAGCAGCAGACTGAATCCTGGTTTAACTGGGGAACAGGGCCCTGTGCTCACATGCTTCTTTTGTGTCTTCACAGACACCAGCCTGCAGCTGCGCAGGGACGTGATATTCTGCCAGAGTGTGGTGGGGGCGATCTGCACCTTGTCTGAGCAGCTGCTGGCCGCACTCAACTTCCGCTACAACAACAGCGGAGAGTACGAGGAGGAAAGCAAGGAAGTGAGCAAGAAGTGGCTGGAGCAGATCGCCACCATCGGAGTGCTCTTGAACTTCCAGTCCATGCTGTCTCCTCGCGTGGTAAGAGCACAGGTCGCCAGGGGCAGAAAACGTGTGACCTACTCTCCCCAAACCATGCCAAGAGATTAATCATTATTGATTTATTACTGTACCTGGTCTTAACAGAGCTGATTCTAAAGTAAAACATAAAATAATACACTTATATAGTGCTTTTCTGAACACTCCACTCAAAAGCACTTCACAGATAACAGGGACTCCCCTCCACCAGTGTGCAGCCCCACCTGGATGATGGGACGGCAACCAGCTTGCTCCAGTTCACTAACCACACACTCTGGGAGGAGAACAGAGTGATGAAACCAGTTCATAGACGGGGATTATTAGGTGGCCATGATTGGTAAAGGCAAAGGGGAAATTTGGGCAGGACACTGGAGTAACACTCTTAACTCTTTTAGAGAAATACACTGGGATTTTTTTGGAATTTTTAATGAGCATGGAGAGTCAGGACCTTAATTTTGCATCTCATCCTGAAGACATTAGGCCTTTGTTACAGTATAGTGTAGCCATCTCTATACTTGGGCATTAGGACCAAAACTACAGGGTGACCGCCCCCTACTGTCCCCACTTCCAGCAGCAACCTTAGTTTTCCCAGGAGGTCTCTTATCCAGGTACTGGCCAGGCTCACACCTGCTGAGCTTCAGTGGTTTGTCAGTTGTGAGTTGCAGAGTGATAGCTGCTGGCATAAAGTAGAGTGTTAAAGGAGACAAAACCTTATTATTTCTGCTGATCCAGCCAGATAAAGTCGATATATTTACCAAACAAATTTGCTCAGAATCACGACAGAACCCAGAGGAGCTTGGTTTTGGGAGAGAATGTTGAAAACCTTTTGTTTTATTTTCAGCATGTGCTAAATCTTAAAAAAGAGCTTTTCCATGATTTTTCTTGGAACACTGTGGGGATAGATTGATTGATAGATTCATCCCCAGCTTGAAAAAACCCTGAATTGTACAGTTTTCATATGAAGTTTGCTACTTGCTTTATGGAACTTTCACAGCAGTCAATGAACAATGAACAGTCATAAAACTGCACACTTTCCAGTGCTTTATTAACTTTCCTGTGCATTGCTCCTAATAAATTTCTAATGACCGTTTTTACGCAAATGTACATGTTACCATTAAATTGTTAATTAGAAATAAGAGGCTGCTAGTGATTTTACATTCTTAGTATTTCGGTGAGATAAAGTGATAAGATAACTGATGTACTGCTTATATACGCAAGCAAGGGCACAATCTCCTGTTCCCAATCATATTTTCCACATGCGTGTTCTGACGGAAACCTGTGCATCAGTGTCATTTCTATCTTTTTCGCCTGGTCTGTGTACTGGCAGAAGGAGGAGCGCACCATGCTTGAGGACACCAAGGCTGCCCTCCTGGACTTGGATAAAGTGAC